AATTTATCTTCTGATAAGATTGCAATCGATCAATCTATCTTCAACAATTGATCAATTTATCTTCTGATAAGATTGCAATCGATCAATCTATCTTCTGATGAGATCGCAATCGATCAATCTATCTTCTGATAAGATCGCAATCGATCAATCTATCTTCTGACTATCTATCTTCTAATAAGATCGCAATTAATCAATCTTCGGATAAGATTCCAATCAATCAATCGATTTTCTCATAAAATCCCAATCAATCAATCAATCTATCTTCTGATAAGATCCAATCAATCAATCTATCTTCGCATAAGATCCCAATCACTCAGGCACGCAATCAATCAAGCCATCAACCAATCAATCATGAAAGTGAACAACAACGGCGGTCGATCGATTGCTTAGACATCATCATCATTGTCATCATCATCAGCGGGCTTCTGTCGAAGAGCGGCTGATGAAGAATCTTCACCATCCAGCACCTGTCGACACCCCATCCTTCCGCAGGAGCAACGAAACGTCGTCAACGATAACGGCGATGGCGACTACAAGGACAGCACCTACAAGCGATAATGATGTAGTAGTAGGAGGAGGAGGTGCAGAAGCAGGGGGTGGAGGAGCAGCAGGAGGAGCAGGAGGAGAGGCTTTGGCGTCAGGTCAGAAGACGACCAGGTTCTCGGCATCTACCCACAGTGATGTTCTTGGTCACGCCTTAAGTGCACAGCTAGAGAAAGCAACACAAGAGATGGAAGAGCGATTGCAAAACCTTCGAAAAGCTATGGCGATGGAGCGGGAGCGGAGAGCCGAGATGAAGAGACTAGCTTGGCAGGAAGGATGCATATGGAGCAGTGCTAAGATGACTCCTCTCCCAACCCTTGGTCAAATGATGCGCAATCCTGCTGCCGGGATCGGGATCAACCAATCAACAAGATTCAAAACGACAAAGTGCAATGATCAGAAGACGCGAATGCCGAAGACGTCTAACTCCCCGGCTTCCAGGGATCTCGATCGGGAGTCAGATTCACATCACCATCGGGGTCATCTCAAAGAAGCTTCATCGAAGTCTCCGGGTTTGTCGATCATCTCATCAGCAAAACCGCGACCGCGATCCCTACAAGCCATCTGGAAGCAGTGGAAGGGAGGAATAGACAGCAGCAGCTGTATGGACAAAGCACCCGATGCACGTGACGCACGAAATGGACCAGATGCACGTGACCTGCGTCATCCAGAAGAAGAAGGGAAAGAAAAGATGAAGAAGACAAAGCTGCAGATGCAAACTGGAAGACATAATAATAATAATAATAATAATAATAATAATAACCTTATCCCCAAAGTTATCCTTGGATCAGATGATGATGATGATGATGATGATGATGATGACGACGATGATTCTGATGATCCTATGGACACATCAGACTCTGCCGCTGCCATGGAGATGGAGGTTGGGATCGGGATGGAGATGGAGATCGATACTAATCTTCCTGACCATGACATGATTGATGACAAAGAGAACGCTTTGCCAGTGAAGTACTACAATAGTACTGGAAATGGTGGATACGCTGGTCAGAATGGACGAGGAGGAGGACAGGGAGGAGGAGGAGGAGGAGGAGGAGGAGGAGGAGGTGATGATCGTGATGGATCAACGACAGGTCGAGAGTTCAAATCCTGCTTGCGTCCGACTGAAAGAAGAACCGCTGGATATGTCATTAATGCTAATACATTCTCTGATGATCGCGACCGCCCAGCGTCTCGGCGAAGGATATCGAGTGCGGCGGTAGAAACTCACTCTGTGGCCGTCGAAACTCGTCAACGTCTGACAGCACCCAGTCAACAACGTCCACGTACAACGTACTTTGACCACTTGGTTCTTCACAAGGAGTCGGTGCGAGTCGGCAGACTGCTTACAAAGCAGGTCAAGGCAAAGGCTTAGGTGGCGTGTGGTGTGTATGTGTACTACTATGTACTATGTACGTACTATGTTAGTACTATGTACGTACTACGTACTATATGTATATATCATGTACGTACTATATTATGTACTCTGTCGTATGTGCGGTATTATGAACATGTATGTACTATGCACTATACCATGGTGGCTTAGTTGGTTGGTTGTGGTTGTTCTTCATCTTGTGGATCACACTCAGGCATGAAGTTTATATAAACCAGTACAGGGCCATCTTCGTGAGGAATTGTGTGATCTCCAAAACGGAGGTGATTCGGATGCCACTGCAGACGGCGAAGCGAAAGAAGAAGAAAAAGAATGTGAGAGGAGCAACGCGCAGGCGAGGACAAATGGGGGAAGTTGTCGATCGGACAAGTACAGGAGGTCGAGATGATGCTGGGGGTTGCAATGCCACTGTGGACGAAGATGACAAGGAGGAGGAGGAGAAGGAGGAGGACAATCATCCCCCGGAGGGCGATTGCGAAACGTTTTGGCCTGTGAAATGTCGAGAATGTGGAACACAGGTTGCGGTCATAGACAAGGATGAAGTTTTTCATTTTTTCGATGTCATTCCAAGCTACAGTTGAGCTTTTTGCATTTCGAATTCCAATAGGAATTGTATATTTGTAATCTGTTGGAGGGTTTTTTAGGGTTTAGGGTTTAGGGTTTAGGTTCTACAGTTTAGGGTGGAGGTTACAGCGTTTGTTTGGGTTCTAAGGTTTAGGGTTTTCTTTTGACATGCAGCATGATTTTGAAGGAACAGTGCTCGTGCGTACGTCAACTTTTTTCGATAGAGTGTGAAGAACGTGGCAGAACACGTTATGTTCTCTCTCTCTCTCTCTGTCTCTCTCTCTCTCTCTGTCTCTCTCTCTCGCTCTCTCTCTGTCTCTCTCTCTCGCTCTCTCTCTCTGTCTCTCTCGCAAGTTATGCTCCTAATGTCCCCTCTCTCCCTCCTTCCTTGTCATGTCTCGCTCCCCTCCCTCCTCTCTCTCTCTCTCTCTCTCTCTCTCTCTCTCTCTCTCTCTCTCTCTCTCTCTCTCTCTCTCTCTCTCTCTCTCTCTCTCT